GCCCAAAAATAGCCAAACCTGTTAGATACATTTTCTTGCCTAGGAAATTGAGTTTCACACCTATGGGAATGTACATTGATTCAGATCCTGGGAATGGAATGGGTAAACCTTTGAGAGGAATGCTCTGCCTGGAACAAAGGACTTGCAAAGAATCATGAGGTTTGGTTCAGTGAGGCAGGCCAAGCCTGTTTGCTGTTTTGCTAGCAAAGACAGAGACAGATACATGGATTTTATAAACTATTTGGTTCATTTTTAAACCCAAACCTTCTATATTTCTAAAATTTCTTACCACAGTACCCCTAAGCCAGGGCACCCCTGTGCTTACATTTGGAAGCCAGCAGCATAGAGACCTCACGGGTGAATCAGTCATGTGGATCTATAAATCACTCAGCATATTTGTATCTTTATTTATTTATGCTATTTTTTAAATCTTGTCCTATCCCATAAGTGGAGCTGCGGTGGCTCAAGTGGTTAAGACGCTGAACTGCAGGCTGTGGAAGGTCAGTAGTTCAGCAGTTCGAGACCCGGGTGCCGCAAGACGGAGTGAGCTCCCATCTCTAGTTCCAGCTCCTGCCAACCTAGCAGTTCGAAAGCAAGAAATTGCAAGTAGATAAATAGGTACCACTTCGGTGGGAAGGTAACAGCGTTCCATGGGCCTTGGTGTTTAGTCATGCCGGCCACATGACCACGGAAACATTTTCGGACAGCGCTGGCTCTTCGGTTTGGAAACAGAGATGAGCACCGCAACCCTAGAGTCGGATTCGACTGGCTTTTGAGCAAGGGAACCTTTACCTTTTACCTTTTTTACCCCATAAGTAGTCTCAGGGTGGCTCACAGCATAGCATAAAACAAACAGACTCATAAATAAAAATACATTAAAACATTAGTTCAAAACAATTTAAAGTTTCCAGCTAGTTAAATTTAAATATATCTATAGCTAATGGCGGCTCAGCCATTCCAATTCAGTTCCAGTTCTGTGTACGCCAAGCTCATGCCAGGAGGGCGGTGGATCAGTCTGATGATCAAGCAACCATGCCATAGGGTGCTTGAGCAGGGGAGGCCAATGTTATTTGCAGGGCTTTTTTTTACAACAGTACCCCTAAGCCAGGGCACCCCTGTGCTCACATTTGGAAGCCAGCAGCATAGAGACCTCGGGGGTGAATCAGTCATGTGGATCTATAAAGCACTCAGCATATTTGTACATTTATTTATTAAAATCCTGTCCTACCCCATAAGTGGTCTGAGGGTGGCTCACAACATAGCATAAAACAAACAGATTCATAGATAAAAATACATTAAAACATTAGTTCAAAACAATTTAAAGTTTCCAGCTAGTTAAATTTAAATATATCTATAGCTAATGGCGGCTCAGCCATTCCAATTCAGTTCCATTTCTGTGTACGCCAAGCTCATGCCAGGAGGGCGGTGGATCAGTCTGATGATCAAGCAACCATGCCATAGGGTGCTTGAGCAGGGGAGGCCGATGTTATTTGACATCCGCCACTTCAACCAAAGGACTGGCCGAACCCCTCCGTTTTACAAGCCCTGTGGACCCTCGGCTGCAACTTGAAAGGCTTGTTTTACGCGACTTTTTGCAGAGTTGGTATTCCTCTTGTTAGAGGTGCTGCCCCCTGTTGTCTGCATCCAGTCTTCTGAGAACGAGAAGTCCATGTTACCTGCTGGTCTCACTCTTTATTTATTTAAAACATGTTTATGCCGCCTTTCCGCTGCCCCCCGTTGTCTGCATCCAGTCTTCTGAGAATGAGAAGTCCATGTTACCTGCTGGTCTTACTCTTTTTTTATTTAAAACATGTTTATGCCGCCTTTCGACACAAACAGGGCCTTCAAAGCGGCAAATATGAAAACATGAAAACATTAAAAATCATTTAAAATAATATATACAATAATTCAATGAAAATATATCAACACATGAACACACAAACCGAAAACCAGCGATGAGGGCCAATGACAGTTGTTGGGGGTATGCCAGACAATCCTCACAGATCTGTAAAGGAACCAATGGCATCTACTCATGCATGAAAGTTACGTTGCACTTTTCCTCTCTGTGTATCTGCAAAAAGGCACACAAAATACAGCCACTCTGCACCCTTTTTTTTTAATTGTGCAGCGCTCTCTGCTTTATGCTTCAATTGCTTATAACAGTTGGAACCTTTAAAATATTGTTCTGTTCACCATTCAATGTTAGAAAGATGACTTTCTGTTGTTTTCAGGGCTTGCATTAGTGAATATCCAATACTTGTGGTGTAAAACTGTAGAAATTTAACTGGAGCACTGCACAGAAATTACAGCTCTTCATTTCTAGTGTGTCTTCTGTGTCTGCATTAAAGGTCTCCCAAATAATACATGGAACATGACTCTTTTGGGGGGGAGGGGTCCCTGAATTCTCCGTGGGATTTCACACTCATCACAGAGTTATCAAGGAATGAGTTTTATGCATTAACTTTGTGCAGTTGTCCATTGAAATAACATGCTGGAATCATTCTATGTGTCCAAGTTATAACACGAAAAGTATTTTTATTCAGTCTTAGTGCACTTCAGTCCTCTGCTCTGCAAGTCTGCGAAATATTCAACGCAAGGAAGATTGGCCTAGTCTTAGGACTGTGTTGCTAAAGTCGCTATAGCTGTCATCTGAGCATAGAATGTGAACTCTAGGAAGACATAACAGCGCTGTAATGCCCACTTCTTCCCTTCTTTTTTATTTATTTATTTTCATTTAGCTCAACGAATCAGCTAAACAGCTTATAGAGACGGACAAGACCAGTCTAGCTGCTGCATCCGGCAGTGATGCCTCTTTGCCTGCTGACATTAACCTGGCAGTAAATACAGCCCATTGCTGTACCTTGAACAGTGCCGGAGCAGTCAGTGCCATTCAGCGGCATATTGACGGCAAGAAGAACACCAAGAAGCGCCACTCCTTCACGGCTCTCAGTATGACACACAAATCCTCCCAGGCCTTGAATAACAGGCATTCCATGGAGATTAGCGCCCCTGTTCTGATAAGCTCCAGCGACCCCCGTGCTGCTGCCAGAATTGGAGATGTGGCTCATCTCTCATCCAGTGCTCCAGTACAGGTAAACTGTGAATAAATTAAACATAAGGAACAAACCACTTAAAATTAACTTAGTCGTGGGCTTTGGCAGTCACCTAAAACAGATCAGGGGAAGGCCTCGGCATGTACGCCCTGTTGTTGGACCTTCAGAGGAACTGGTTGGTCATTGTTTGAGACAAGATGCTGGACTAGGTGGACCACTGGTCTGATCCAGCAGGGCTCTTCTTGTGTTTTTATGGTGAGCTGTGGCTTAGATTGCTAAGAGGTCACGTTTGTGATCTTACATCCAATGGAACCAAACCAGAGCAAAATTCTGTCACTGGGTGCCTTAGAAGAAAGTATGGAACACAGCTGACCTTGATGTAGACAAAATGAGGCTGCGGTCACATGCGCCAGTTGAAGTGGAGCGGAAGCAAGGCTATTTCCTCCCGAGGAATTTGACATGCAGTTGCAAGATCACACCTCCCTTTGTAGCTGTGGGCTCAGCCTGTCCCTGTGTGATCAGACGCAACTGCAGCTGAGTCATGGGATTTTGGGGCGTTTGTTTCCCATGCGCACAAACAAATCGCACCTCCGCACTGAGGGCCCCCTATGGAGTATGCGATGATGCGCATACTGCGAAGAAGGGGGGGGGATGGTACTGAGCCAGGATGGCGTGATCAGACCATCCTGATGGTATGCGAGTGTGCTTGCGCGATCAGACAGGGTAAAGTCCGTCCGTGGCCCATCAGAACCCATTAAAGCCGGACTTTCCCCGGTGTCTTTGAACTCCGCTTCTGCGGCAAAGCAGGACAGGTTGGCGATGACTGCGGGACACGTCCCAGATGTTGCTGTCTGATCGCTCCCTTTAGATCCATCAGGCATTCGCACCTATGTCGGATCCAAAGGCGTGTGTGATCGCAGCCTGATATGGGAGAGAGGACTTGCATGGTACCTTGCAGGCAATATGTTGCTATTCTGTAGTGTATCTGTTTGTCTATTATTCTGCTGTAACCTTCTTGAGGAGATACCATTATTCAAGTTTAATATCAGTTCTGTAGAAAGATTTGACATGGTTTCTCTCATGAGCCCTTATTTTCAAGACTTTCGATGCTGTAAATGTTGGCATGTTATAGAAGTCCTGTGCCCTTTGGAAACATATAATATTGCAAATACCAGTAAATCATTTGACACACGCACATAGCCATATAGACACCCAAAGTTTTTGAATGGCAAGCTGAGGGATCCAGCATAGTGGGTTGTTTGTTAGCTAGTTTGCTCATTTACTTACTTACTTCACTTATAGTCTACCTTTCCTGTAAAGAGTCAAGGCAAATTACAGACAGGGGTCATTTCGTAGAAAAAGAGGTGCAGGAACTCATTAGCATGACTCATTAGCATGACTCATTTGCATGTGCCACATCCCCTGACATCACCGGAAGTGTGTCAGAAGGCAGCACCCACCACTCAGGTGCCACTGGACTGTTTTGGATCACTTTCTATTGGGGGGGGGGACGTGCAGATCTGTCCTCCTCGCACAGGAGGCTGTGCGCTCCTGCAGGAAATGACCCCTGATTACAGATATTAAAAACAAACAATGCAGTACGATGATCCAGAACATTTCTGCAGGACATCAGAACTAGAACACTATTCCCTTTATAAAAATGCCCTTCGGGAAAATTCTGTTTTGCACATTCTGTAGAATAATAGCAGTGTGGAAACCTCCTTTCTAGCTGTAGGTGAGTATTGTGTTGAGATCTGTGGATGGGAGAGAGTAACGCAACAAGCAACATGGTTTCTTGCCTGTTAGTCTGTATGGTTTGTGGGTCTTGCACTGAATAAGTGAACCCCAAGCAAAGGACAAAACAGCTTCTCTGAGAACCTTTCAAAGACATAGTTGAACACCGATGTAAGCAGTTCTCATCTGTGGGCTGAAATCTGGCACTTGGCTATTAATCCGACATACATGGGCAGGAGAATGGGAAAAGACTTTCACAGGCTCCAGAAAGCTTTATAATGGGAACCTGGAAATGTATGATGAAATCTAATGCCTCTGCCAGGCTACAAATTTAGTGTTAGCTAACATGGGTATCTGCCAGGAAGAACAGAATCCTTTAATCTGTGCCCTCCTTTCCTTCATACGGGAGTATTCCCTGCCTGCCCTTCAGAAAGTAGCTGGGAAACACTGGGGTATTCGTAATGCTCTAATAGCACCACGGACTTCTGTGCTCTATTTATTCCTATGACTAGTTCAAAATAGTGTGGTTGTGAATCCAGCTCATGGAGGTGAGCACGCTGGCCACAGTCCAATGAACCCCCACTAGCCATGCGAAAGGGGTCGTCCATGCTCAAATTGGCTTTCAGCACCCCATCCCGTTTCAGCAGCAGTATGTACACACTACATGGCAAACCGTACAGCTCGCTTCAGTTTAAAAATTTCAGGAGCCACTTTTTGAGAGAAACATTAAAATAAGTCCCCTTTTATATGTTGGGTGTGGTCTTGCTTAGCAAGATGAATAGAAAGAGAGGTCAGGTTGGTGGAAGCCGAAAGGATGTTGGATAGAGGTAGGTGGTGGGTGACCAGCCGCAGAGTGGAAAAGGCGCTCGTTTGAGGCCTGAACCTGTGGCTCTGTCAAAACATTTGAAAAACATGTTTGTTTCCTGTTTGTGTGTATTTATTGAAGGATCCTTGTACAAGAACACTCTTTGAAACCGTATAGCGTTAGAAGATACTTATCTGTCAAGAAGAAACTCGCACAATATGTTTACCGTTGCAGATGTATCGCCACAGTATATAGTCTCATACAAGGGATGCATTTAGAGATACTGCTGTGATAGCTGTTGGACTGCAAGGTTTGCTTTGTCATTTTCATAAGTGGTGCAATCTCAGGAGTTAGTTAATGGTAAGCATACAGATCTCTTAACGCTACTCTGAAAGTAGTTGTAAATAAGGGGTGGCCTTAGAAACCTTTCCATTGTCTGCGACGCTTTGAAGTAATACCACATCACATTACAGTCTCCATATTCAGGAAGATGATAGTACACAATCATAGTCTCTAGTGGAGTATTGCGACAGCAACTCTGCGTGTGTGTGTGTAAAAATAAGCACTGTGCTCCCTTTCAAAAGAATTTGCATCTGGCATGGTTGATGCATGCACTCCGCATGCCACCCATTAAACATTTTTTAAAATGGCCCTTCTGAAATGTGTTCTTCTGTCATACAGGGGGCTCTAACAGGCCAATAAAATTGATTTGTATTGGGACTGTACTAAGGCTGCGCGCCAGTGATAAAACTGAGCCAAAGTGAGATTAGCTGCTAGGTTAGCAACAGAGCTGTGCACAAGTGAGCCGCCCTGCAGAGATGAGGGAGGTCCCTCCTGACTCACTAATCTTGCTGAGGCCTCAGGTGGCTCATCCTCCCTCCATTTGCACCCCTCATGAATTATTCTTCCTTGCTATTTGGAGAGGTCAGAGGTCAGCCTGCTCCAAATCCCCAGCTCTTTCTGACCAAAGATGCATCTCATAAATAATGAAGGATGGTCTTCTGCAGCCCACCATATAATCTGAGCAGCAACGAAAGGATGCGAGGCCACTGCGTATTGTATGGGCTTCACACAAATTCCAGCTCTGAACAGAGAGCCAGTTGTCTCACACTAAGAAAGAGCGAACACTTGATTCTCAGGGGAAGGGTACCTATTTTGAAAACAAACAACCTTTATGCCGTGTCCTCAGGACTCCATAAAGTGTCAGCAACATAAAATACGCCAAGCCCTTCTAAGTGATTTTTCTCATGTAAAAGGGAGCTGGGGCTGGGAGTCCCAATTCCTAGACAACAGAAAGCAAATCCAAGCAAAATTGTCTTAACGTTGCGGATTGCGGTATGACATTGAGAGACTAGAGATAAAAAGCATGTTATTTATGTTTAAAACAGAAAGGTGCCAAAGACAAAAGTTTAGCTTTATGTCTGTGCCTGGCAGTCGGGGAAGAGACACCTCTGAAATCGCTTCTGGTGCTAAATTTGGACAGAACCCGTTCCATACTCTGTTTTGACTCCAAAGAAACAGTGCTTTTATGGGTAAGGTTAATCATATTCAGTTGTTTCATGGGAGCCCATAAGTTATTTTTGCATCTTATTAAGCCCACTTTTCAACACACAAAACCAGCCTGATCGTAACCACATTTATTGGAAAGTAGGGGTGGATTTATATGTACCTATAACATGCCAAAACTGTGTTAGTGATTTCTCACCAGCACTATCCCGGAAGCATTCAGTACTGTTTTCATACATTATAAAGCTTCTCCGTTCAATTAATCCAGTTTGTGCCCAGCTGTACATTCAGGTGGAGACTGTAAGGTACAAGAGTGCCGATCTGAACACATCCCGCAAACCAAGCTAATTGGGTGGAAGACAGAAATCACATTCTCTCGACTCTGCTTTCTATTTCCTCGCCCTCCTTTCTCATTATGGAAAAACAAGTGGGGATCTACAGGGTATTGAGAGGAGCAGTGTTCCCTCTAAGCTGAGATAGTGTGAGCTAGCTCACAGTTTTTTAGCCTCCGGCTCACACATTTTTGTCTCAGCTCAGGAAGGATGGCTCCAGAACACACTAATTTATGCAGCAGCCAAATTACCTGCTCACAATTTTAATGCCGGTAGCTCACAAAGTAGAATTTTTGCTCACAGGACTCCACAGCTTAGAGGGAACATTGGAGAGGAGGGGGAAAAACCCCGTTCCCCACCTACCCTCTCCTTCTCTGGCTTCTCTCCACCTCCCTCCCATCCACCCGCTCCCTTCTGCTTCCTCTCCCCCAAGTGCCTGCTTGTTCCCTCCCCCAAGTGCCTGCTCCACCCATCAGCACGTCTCCCACCCACTCTGGCCTCCCTCTCCACACCTGCCCACTTGCTTCTGTGGCCCCACAGGCATGGTGAGGTAAGTGAAAAAGCAGACAGGACATGGAAGGCAAGGCAGAGAAAGCCCATTGGGGAAGGCAGCTCCTCCTCACCTGCTGCTGGTTGCCATCACCACCACAATTTTTGCACAA